CCATCCCTCCTTGCTTTTCAGTGATGGTGGATGGGGGAAGGAGGGAGGGATTGAGGGTGGGCACAGATGGTCCGGTCAGAAAGAAAGAGAGGGAGAGAGGTAGAGCGAGAGAGGTAGAGGTTCACTGGCGAGCGGCAGGCTTTTTTGGCAGGGTCGACCTGTGGGAGGGCCCATTGTGATGCAACGTTGCATAAATAATGCCACGGGGCTTCTAAATGCGCCGTTGCTATGGTGACCTTTGTGTCTCAGTGAGCACTGTGTGTGTGTGTGCGTGTGTGTTTCATGGCCCCTGAAGAGGGAAACACAAAGAGAGAGAGAAACAGAGAGAGGAGCAGAGCAGCCAGCTCAAGTGACACTTGTTGTCTCTCTCACCCTCTATGTCTTTCTTTCTGTCTCTCTATCATTTGCTGTGGTCAAACCCAGGACAGATGAGTGTTTGTAGGAGGGAAAAGGAGTGCTGTTGTGACCAGAGTGGAGCAAAAAAAAGCAAGATACTTTGTGATTTTGTGTCTTTCTGTGAAGTATGGTCCATGTGAAGGTATGTTTATTGAGATTTCATTCCTCTCTGTCATTTTTCCTTTTCTTATTTGTTTCCCTCCCAGTAATAACAGAATACATTCCATCATGGTCTGCCTCTTCCTCTGCAGTAACAGGTGTCTGCCTGTCAGCTCTGAATTGGAAGGAGCAGAAACCGTAGGGGGAAAAAAGGAGGGAGCAGTCGCTTTTGTTTGGCTGTTTTCAAGAAGCCTTACAACCAAATTCTCACGGCTCACCATCCAGCTAGTTAGTCAGCCCGCTTAGCCTCTCAGCCTCAGAGAAAGAAAGAACACAAGCTTTTCATCTTTTCCTGTATCTGCTGTGGAGATGTTGCCTTGAAGTAGGTTGTTTTTTTTTTTCTGTTTTCCTTGTTACATCAGCTGATGAGGGAGTTTAGATGGATTTGACTGCAAAAAGTCAGATCACAGGAAAAAGCATGCAGTTTTTCTTGCATGCAGTGGTGCTTTGAGATGTAAATAAATGTGTACACTGCTTCTTAACTGTAGTTCTTGTAGTTCTAGCTTTTGTAGCAAGATGACTGGTTTGTGTTTGCATCAGAGGATTACAGCTTTTATTTTCAAATTATCCTTTAAGTGATGGGATAATATACTGTACAATAAAATCATTCATATCTCTAAAAATGCTAACTGTGATAACTGATCTCAGGCCAGTTCTTTACTTGGGTTTTAATTTTGTCCATTTAAAAATGACTTATAAATTCAGAAAACACAGAGAACTCAGCACAGGTGATATTTTCTGTCAAGCAGCTATATTTTGATCTGCAGTGCAGTGTAAATACATCCATGTATCATTATTCTGTAGCTGAAGAATCTGCATGTTGCTCTCCCTGTTTAACAGTATGTTGAGAAACTTCACAACACTGTGTGTGTGTAAAACAGTGACAACATTTTCCACTCAGCAGCTATTCAGAGGTTAGATTTAATATTTTACAGCAGAACATATGTGACATTTGGCAGCTGTTAGTAGGTCTATATATCCACTATGACACAGCAGCTACTTTATATGTGGAAGTTAGACATTCTCATGTGAATCTGCAGAAACTTATTTATGTATGTATGTGTTTGTTTCTGAGCATGTACATATGCCAACGTGTGCAGGTGTCAAATGTAACCCAGAAGCGTGTGTGTGTGCCTGCATGTGTGTTCAATCACCATTAATAAATTAGAAGATGGTGCAGTACAGTGAAATTTGCAGCATGATTTGTTAAATTATTATTATATTAATGATTCATCATTCTCAAATTTTATCATTATAATTGAAAGCTGCGAGCTGTCTCAGGCAACCGTGCCCACGGAGCAGCACTCTGCTCTCTGTTACAACTCTCTAACAAAATGATCATTTTGTAATCGCTATAAATAGCATTAATGTTCTTTCTAACTCGGATATGATACTGTGTTTTAAGGTCATTTCAAATGTTAAAACTATCATAAGGTTAGTTTTTTTCTCTGACCATGTCTGTGCAAATAGGTCAGTCTAACTTTGTAGAGCCTGCATGGTGTCAAATGTTAGACATTCAACAGGCTATTTTCTTGCACAGATACTGTTTGAGCATAACTTAGTTCATTTGGTTTATCAAATGGTAGTGTTTTACTTCTTTTAGAATAATGACAGACGACAGACACTATAAAATATATAATTATAATGCTTGTATTATATGTGTGCTTGTGGCATTTGTGTCATAATCTATTTGACCATCAAACCAAAGAAAATATTTACTGTAAGCTAACAGTCCATTTACCAACAGTTATGAATTTTAAACTTTTAAACATTTTAGGTGGACTATCTTTTGAAATAGCTTTTCTATCTTCAGATGCTGCCTGGAGAACACAGATTGAATTGATTACCTATTCTAACATGATTTATTATAATTCCATCCTGTTAATTATCTGGAAACCTGCTAGAAAATGAGCAGAAAACCAATGTAAGATTTAATCATGATTTTAGAATCAGTGCTCTAGTGTATAGACATGTCCACTATTTTGAAACAATACACAATCTAGTATTGTTTGTTTGTTTGTTTGTTGTTTTAATAAATAGGTAAAATCACTTACAATATGCTTCATCAGCTATAATGATCGCAACACCCAAACCAGTTTTTATAATCAGCTGTTTGTTTGTACGTGTGTCTGCTAATTAGTGACTATGCATCACACATCGGCCAGCATAAATTAAGCAAAAAGACCATGGGGCTCATGCAAGAACCACTCACCCAAACAGGTTTTGTTCTTAAATGGCACGCACAAATGATTACCGACAGCCTGACTTGAGCTCTGTGGCGTACTTTGTACTTCCAACAGACAGTGGATAACAGTGTAAAGGCACCGAATAGGCTAATGACCAAATCTTGTGAAAGCACATCTCTTGTAGCATTTATCAAGCTGAAAGAGGACATTTACAGGTTTGGTTTGTGTCGTGAACAGGGTTTGGTGAATTAGGCAGTTATAGAAATGAGCGTCAGAGCCCTCCTGACGCCAGAGGAAAGTAACAAGCCAGGCAGTTGATTTTCATGGGTGAGATCAGATAATCTATGTTAATGTTTCTAATTATTTAATTAATAAACAACTAAGAAGAATAGTCTACATATTTATGTATATACTGTATGTATTTACTTATTATGGGCTTACAGTACTAAGAGTAATTCTAATTCATGATTCAAGTCGATTTAAATAGTTGTGAACCGATGCACTGGCAAAAGTATGTTTGTTCCAGAGACCAGTCAAACTAGAAAACTGAAAAAACCTTAGAACAAAATCAACTGGACTTAGATTTCTAGATTGAAGAAATCTAAGTCCAGTTGATTTTTTCTAAGGTTTTTTCAGTTTACTATGACCCGGATGACTGAGAATCAGCACAGACAGTCAAACTAGAAAACTCTCCAGGACTACCTGTTGAGATATGGCCAATCCAAGGTCATGTGGAATTACACTGCCTAATTCTGCAAGATCTGGGTTGGGTCCAGCCCTTCGTTGTGGTGGAGGAGAGGGGAATGTGGGAGCCAATGTACAATTGTGGCTGCATTTGTCTGCGCTGTGGTTGCTAGCCTTGTCCCTTTACATTAGAATACAAAACTGCTGTCTGTAGCTGAATCTTATAGTGTAGCTCTATCTGCTGAATGACCACCCTCAATAAGTGACCTTTTCTTGTTATTGAACCACTTTTTTATGTCCATTTCCACAGAGAACGACAATTGCTAATTCTTAAATCAAGCTAGCTAGATGCTGGCTGAAGTGAATAATCACACTGACTTTTACAAATAAATTTCTAAACTCTCGAGAACTGCACACCCGTCACAAAGTTACACAGAACTCAAAACCAGTTTATAAAATTGTCAGCAGAACACACACTTTGACCATAAATAGGAATTTCCCCATTGTGGGATCAATAAAGTCCTACCTACCTACCCAGAGCCAGGATTTTTTTTAAAAGTTAGGATAAAAAAAAACAACTAACATCTGAGATAACCTCAGGATTTATAATAATAGAACACATCACAACCAAATGAATAAATGATTCTAATATTATGTTGATTTCTCCTGGGAAGGCCCATTGACTGTAAAAACAATGCACATCGTGACAAATCAATCACCCCCTGGTGGCTGGGTGCAGTATAGGTCATAAATCCCACCTCCTTCATGTTAGTAGATGGGACATGAGTGACTCCTGCAGCCCACCCATAATGCCAGAACTGCCTCACAGAAAAAAAAAATTAATAAAGATTTAGTATGTCCACCTGCTTATATGCACATTTTCAATTTGCGCATAAGTGCTGTACATTCAACAACTTTCTTTCTTTCTTATTCAACAACTCAGTAAATTAAATAGAAAATTACCTTTTGGAATTATTATTTATACATTGAGATAGGTATCTAGAATACGATTTGGCTAATAGATTTTTGAAGAATGTGTGCTGACATCCAGCTAGATAGTGATTGTTTCTGCAGGTGGTCCTACAGTGCAGCTTATGTATTTAACTAGTATTATGGGATTGACAACATCCTCCTTTAATATCAGTCCCCACATGGTAACAGCAAATCCATACACTTTGAGTGGAAAGATGATTTGTCAGGCAAAGTTTAGAGTGATGCTTACTGTACATGTGAACCAGACACATCACAATATGTCAAAAAATATCAAAATTCTTGATTCCAAAACTCTGAAACTTCATCTGTTCCATGAAATTCCTAATGACAGATGAATAAATGTGTGTTTGCTTGTGATGACATGTCAAACTCTTTTCAGTGAATAGCTGGCAGTGTGATACTGGCAGATGCATATCTGGCCTGTTTTCCCACTGCAGACCACACAGTCCATTTCACAACAATTAAAAATTTGTCAGTGACAACAGAGCCAAAATAATGTTCAAGAAGACTGTAAATGTGTCAGTAAATACATACGTTGTTTTGACTCTCCCTTTCCCTCTCCCTCTCTCGCTTTCTCTCCAGGAGTTGCAGTTTGAACGTCTGACCCGTGAGCTGGAAGCCGAACGACAGATTGTTGCCAGTCAGCTGGAGAGATGCAAACTTGGCTCTGAGACTGGAAGCATGACTAGCATTAGGTGGGTTTGCGAGTGTTTGTGTCACACACCCACAGGACGCTCTCCTGTACTTTAGCTGTGTGCCAGTTGTGCTGCTGCTGTTGACTGGCTTTACTTTGTCACATTAGAGATACAATACACACCTTGATTTGTATTCAAAATTGCAAAATTTATCTCTCTGGATTGAACAGTTCAAAAACGCTGTTGTGATTTTGTTTTGTTTTTTTGCTTTTGAAGTCAGCATGAATGATGTTCTTACATTAGACTGTCTTTCTTCTCTTCTGTCCACATGCTTACTGTACTTCTTTACAATAACCCATATCAGAATGAACGAGATAAATATATGGACGACATAAACAAGTATGACTGCTTTTCCTTTTGTGCACTGAGACGTTGCCTTGAGGATTCTGAAGTGCTATAATGCAATCAAACACTGCATAATCAAAGGTGTTCTGTGTAGCCTTTTATCAGCAATAAGTAGTAATACATCAAAGGTAATATACAGTATAACATATTTTTTTTTATACATCAAAGGGAATATATTGCATATTTCTTTTATACATCAAAGGGAATATATTACATATTTCTTTTTACTGCTCATAAAAGTAATAATTTACAATAATTCTTTCTAAGGCAGTAACTAGTTACTTTTTGAGTTACTTTTGTGTAACTCTCACAAAGCATCCCCATAAACTAAGATCTAATATATAGTAAAACCAGCCCACACTTCCACTTGGTCAGAATGGGGCTAGTGAGCTTTCTGAAAGCCTGGGAAGCACGGATGATACTGGCCTCACATACTCAGCTACAAGTCGCCTTAGCTCTATCAGTGACACCGTTTACCATGACGACGAGGGTGCAGCTCTAAATTCCACTGCTTTCATGTAGACATTTGCATTTCTCTATAGCTGCCTAACATCCAAGTCCGACTTGGTTACTGTAATATGTGAGTGGACCTTCTCTAAGTGCTTCTTCAAATGGGATGTGATATTTTATACAAAGGTTTTTGTCCTTTTTAGCAACAAGATGAAACTACTAACAAAATTTTCTCTTGAAAGATGTGTGTGCACTGTTTTTCAGAGACGTGGGTGTGCTAAACACTGGCCACTGAAAATGGATGAGATGTTTGAGGAGATTTGGTTTGTCCTGAATACATCAACTGTTGTTAGCTGCAAAGACTAAGTTACTAAATGCCTGGCTTTTTGCTAGCTAAATGTTCCCCTATATTTACCAGGCAGCTGTGAATTTTCTGTCTGTTGTTTACTCCTGAGTAGACGGTGCACAGTAAAATTACAAGTCATAAAAGCAAAACAATGAACTGAAAGACACTAAAATATTTTTAGTCCTGAGTGGAACCACAGAGATTATTTATAACTCTGTGGATTTATCCATTACCCTTTAACATTACATACAGTCATTTCATTACTTGCATTATTAAAATATTAACCAAGCTATCCTATTATGAAATAGGCAAGTTAGTGAATAGGCTTGCGACCATGCAATACAATGGATGGTCATATGTGAATATGAAAATAAGCCATTGCAAATAGTTTTGCCTTTAACTAATATTGTTCAATGTTCAGTCTGTGGTTTTGTTTTACCATTCTATGTAGAAATAAACAGGTTTTTACTTATTGAGATTTTACACTTTTTACACATTTAAATCATTTTTACTTTAAGTGACTGTATTCTAGGCAGTGGTGGAAAATAACTGTACAGTACCTGAGTACATTTATTCAGGTACTGACTGTACTTATGTACAAATTTGAGGTATCTGTACGTTACTTGAGTATTTTCATTTTCTGTGACCTCATACTTTGACTTCATTGCATTTTAGTGGCAAATATTGTACTTTGTACTCCATTACATTTATTTTACAACTTTAGTTACTAGTTACTTTTCATACCCAAATTAAGTAACATTTTGAATGCAGGACTTTTAGTTGTAACAGAGTATTTTTACACTGTTGCACTGCTACTTTTACTTAAGTAAAGGATCTGAGTACTTCTTCCATCACTGATTGCAAGAATATACAATATATTAGGTGCTATTTGCTCTTACTAATCCTCTTCTTGCTTTTCAAAATAATGCAAAATGGCAACAGAGAAGTGAAGAGAATACAAGCAGTTCATAATCACTAAAATGAATGTTTTCCTTTCTGTCCAGTGTCATTTTTTGAAAAGTACAATAAGGAAGGTAACTTGAGACCTCTAAACAAGCTAAGTGTATGTGCACGCTGTGCCTCAAGAAAGAATCTAGATCTGAATCTATTCAATGCACATTAACGATATGTACCTTCAAGCTCAGAGATGCATAAGGAATGGATTCCTTTGCTGTGAAAGGATTTGCACTTGAAAGACATCAAATGTCAGACCGACACCTTGAGTCTAGATTTATTTAGTTATTATGCAGCCTGACTAATGGTCATTTTTATATAAATAATGAATGCTTCAAATTTGACTTTTATATAACCCGAATTAGTGTCATAAGTAAAAATTTGTTTTTGCACTTTTAGACACTCCTCACAAATTTAGAACACATTTTATTTTTATGCAGCAATACAGAACAAAATGGCTCTCTTTTGCAGCACAATTGTGCCAACTCTGTCAGTATTACTCTTCAGGCTGATCAAAGCAGCTTTTAGTTGTTTAAATGAATTCTGGCACAGGTCTCATGGCACAGAAGCAAATCCTCATCTTTTCTAACATAATGTGTTATTTATTGTCTAGTAAAAACAGCAATTGCTTCTCACAAAGACTCCAATCACATGCTGCTGTCACAGGAGTGTATTGTTCTGTTCAGGGCCTTTTTTTTGTTGTAAAGATAGGAGGTAAACTGTCCACAATGTGGCAAGACTGACATATTATCTGCTGCTGATTAAGTTTGGCCCAAAGCTTCGTCTCTGCTTCGGGCCCAAAGAACATAATCTACACACATTCATTCCATACCAGTACCAGTGTGAAGGCAGGACTCCTTACTCAATAGTGGTAATGCACTTAGACTAGCTTCTCTGGACAATGTAACACAATTAAAACCTGTGTCTCCATTTCTCTCTCTCACTCTTTCTCTCATACACACACTCTCTCACAATCCATCATCTTTTCTCCTCTTTCATTTCACTAAGCGAGTGGGGATTCCATCCATTTCAAACTAATTACTCATCTGCCGCCGTTGTAATTCTCATTTCAGTTTGAGGGGAGGACCAACAAAGAGCATGAACATGGACAACATCTGATTCATTCACGAGTCTAATTAACCAGTGCTTGCATTTAGCTTTTCAACTACACCGCTCTGGTGAGCAGCCCTGTTTAAAACAAAAGCAAGATGGGAGATGGAAGAGGTGTTTAATCCAAACAAACACGTCTTCCAGTTCACCATCCAGCTGCATACAAATGAAAAAAGCTGCCTTCTTGCAAATGTGATTAGATGGGGTTTTATTTAGTGAGGAGCAGTGCGTGTTGTGGATTACACTGTCCTCCATTGCTTTTTATCAGTCACTTACTTTATTTGTAATTACCAAATGGACAAATGCATTGGCAAAAATCAAGTCCATCAAGACAATATGCTGGAGGTTTGTAGTGTGGGATTTATTATTCGGTTACCTCTGGGAAATTAGTATTGTTACTGTTCTGAATAGTTTCATTCATTACTGCTTGTCCTGGTGAAGGCCCAGTATTAATCAGCAGCTACAATACATTTGTCTTGGTAGCATTCATGGTGAGACTTATTGACACTGTGCACAGCAAATTAAGCTAAGGACTTGAATATCCAGAAACTTTGTGGAAGAAAAATTAATTTCAAATTGTTGTAGTTTTGGGCATTTGTCATTGTGATACATAATGTATCTTGGCTGTAGAAAATGAATACCTTTTTTGAAACTTTTTGTTTGGCATGTTTGCTTCTATTATTTCATGTTTTTGTTTAACAAAGAGAAAATAAGTATGTTAGCGTGTCCCAGGCACAATTTGGCTATTACAGTAGTTTGGTTTCTTCAGGAAGGTATGTTTTGATGATTTTACTTAAATCTTTTTCTTAGTTAGGCTCACCATCCATACGGTCTAGTAACAGTTAGGTCTTTTAACACTAGGCCACTTGTGTCATCCAGGTTAACATTACTACTGAAAAACCATGAAAAATATCTTGATACAAAGTTTGCTTAGCTGTTTTTGGTCTTGAACAAAGATGCTTTGAAGAAACTGAGCCTGTTATGAAGGGTTTTATTTTGTCAGACAACTTTTTAATTATTTCTTCTCAATTATCCAAAGTTCATTAGATGGCCCAATAAATGTATAATATGGAGAATATAAATCTTGCATTATTTGTATCTGAATAAAGATGTCACTATTACACTAGCTGTACTGTACTAGTTCTTCTTTGAAAACTCCTTCACA